GCGGCCTGCATCCAGCGCCTTCCTGCTACCTTTATGAGGTTATCGGTCCAACTTGTGGGTGGACGTCCTACGCTGCGCTTTCCGGTACGTGGGCTCCAGTCTAGACGACTCCAAGCATATGAGTACATACTGCGCCAATAAATACTGGAACCACAGATTATTTACTAAGAAGACAACTGAAAAACTTGATGAAACAGGCGAGTAACAATTTGACCCTCTGTCTATAAAGAGTAACAACTTGACCTCTATGCATAAATCGGCACTAAGTACTTACCTACTTAGTTCACATAGGTACCTAAAAAGTAAGTTAGTGCCGGTTTCAGAAATTTTCAAATGACAACATTTTTTTAACACCTGAACAGATTGCATAAGTTGGGAATCGAATCCCAGCTACTAAGTAATTGCTTAAAATTAAAAAAAAGATAATTATCAAGATGTTTTGCAAAGATGCACAAAACATGCCATTGGCTAAGTAATAAATATTCTTTAGTCTTTAATCAAAGTTTACGAACCATCAAAAACTAGCTTCATACCTGCCTACTAGTTACACAAATGTTATCATTTAAATTGTCCTCTTTTGAATAAGGCTGAGTTGCACCACCTAACTTTAACCGTAATTATAACCGGTGTTTTTGTATGGAGCTCGGCAGACTTTTGACGTTTGTTAAGTTAAAGTAAGATGGTGCAATCCAGCCTAACTCAAACAATCATTAGTTCACATCAATTGAGATTCATCCGGCATCCTAACCCTGTGATAAGAAGTGGAAATATTACAGCTAACGGTCTATTTTCAAGCTGCTATCGTTAACTTGACCTAATCCCACCGTATTTATAGCAATAAGCAAGTAAACAAGATCAGTTGTGCTGTGCGTGAAACATGTCGTAATTATTGCACTTCCTTTATCTACATACTAGCTTTTGCCCGCGGCTTCGACCGCGTGGAATTTTGTCTGTCACAGAAAAACTTTATCGCGCGCGTCCCTGCTTCAAAAACCGGGATGAAAACTATCCTATGTCCTTTCTCGGGACTCAAACTATCTCTATGCTAAAGAAGAACGGTCATCTGTGACCCAGGCCCGACAGAAACGAGACATACCTCAGTTTTTTTGTAATGTCTTAATTAGTTAAATTATATATTTTTTATATTCGAAATCTATGTATAACACCAAAATATTACCCTTTGTTTTTGTTCAGGCGTTATACAAAAACTAATACTAAATGCCTATTTATCACCAAAATTGGTAAATGTATGTACCTAAATGTCTATAACAGCTGCCATGGAATGTATCTAGGTGACCTGGAGATACAGCCTGGATTATACAGGGTGGAAACGAGAAGTTACAAAATCCAAAAATTCAATGTTACCAGCTTCCATAATCTGTAACCTAATATTGGTACCACTTGAAAGAGCTCGTGAAGCACTTTCAGAATCAGTAACTAGTTTTTCGATATCTTGTATAGTTTAGAAATAATCGAGTGAGATCACTTATCGTTCCATATGTATAACCACCCTGTATAATCCGGCTGTATCTCCAGGTCACCTAGATACATTCCATAGCAGCTGTAATAGACATTTAGGTACATACATTTACCAATTTTGTTGATAAATAGGCATTTTGTATTAGTTTTTGTATAACGCCTAAACAAAAACAAAAGGTAATATTTTGGTGTTATACATAGATTTCGAATATAAAATATATATAATTTAACTAATTAAGACATGAAAAAAAAACTGAGGTATGTCTCGTTTCTGTCGGGTCTGGGTTTTTTTTGTATGGGGCGTGACCGTTCTTCTTTCATCAAAATCGGTTCAGTGGTTTAGGCGTGAAAGCAAGACAGACGGACATAGTTACATTTCGCATTTTTAATATTAGTATTGAGTTATACTGGGTGTTAGGTAAATGGGTATATGAGCCGACACTAGCCCATGTTAACATGGTCATATAAATGGTATGGTGAAGTCAGAAATTTTATATCTTCATTTTAATTATTTTAATTTTCATACAAATCGGATTTTATAAAATTTATTTTGTTAGCCCTCTAGTGGACTAATGGATGGCGTTGCCAGAGGTTGCAGGTTCGATAGAGTCATACTCGTAATATTGGTTGGAGTACCTACCTTCTAAGTTAAACTAACCTGCCTACTGTTAAATGTACAATACCATTTTGGTGGTGTACCAAAACTAAGCATATGTAGAAGAACCCAAACATAGACACCTTGCGTGTCCAATACTCGTAGTATGAAATCTCTACTTGCGTAAGTAAGTAGGTACCTACTCGTATTATGACAATCTATTAGTCGCATTGTCTTGGTGTTATTCCATTCATACACTTAAGTTCCCGTGGTGAAACTTTAGCCACACAGTCTTGAGTTGAATTGCACAACGAAGGCGCCTTCATTTTCGTCGGGAAATGCATGAAAATGTAAGTATGTATTTCGTCCACGTATGTACTAGGTGTCCTGAGTACCTACCTAACACAAGATGGGTAAATTGCCACAACTTGACAAAAACATTTTTCTGACGATTAATTTTCATTAGGTAAGTAATTAATTATCTCTAAGTTTTATTTTTATCTTTGATGGATTTTCCAATTCCTTCCTATTTGTGCCCTTGAATTTGACCGATTATTTAGTCGCTACGTGCTATTTTTCAAACAATAATCTTTAGTACCTAGATAAGATTGTTTATTGCTCAAGATCGCGATAACAAGTTCGTTGGGGGCCAAAACGTAATGACGTTGATCGTAAGACGTTGCAGTTAAATAGGAAATACAGACCAGTAATTCATAGATATTTGCAGGGCTCTAGCCAATTAGCCAATTCAACTTCCAAAGTTAGCTTGTTGAAGTCCCTTTTCAGGGGCGGCAGGGCACTGTCTCAAATATAGCTTTCCCTGCCACCACTTTGGTTCAACATAACCAGCCGATATATTATATCACAGTTACATATACCTACCTACCGTAGCACTTTGACAACGTGTGACTGCGGTTTTCCAAACATGAAAATTACTATGCAACTACATTAGCAACATTGTTCAGTTCAGTATTCTGAAAATCTTGTTTTATACTTTTTCAGCGTCGTTTTTTGTCGTAGTTGTTAAGTGACCACTATCGTAACACAAACAGGAATTTTGTTTTCATAGGGGTCACTTAAAAGGTTCTGTACCCACATGAGGCAGTCAACTGACTCAAAAAACATATACAAACGAACCTCCTCCTTTTGTTGAAGTTGGTTAATAAAAACTGACTGATTCTTCATAGTCGCTTGTAAACCTGTAATTTTAATATGTGGTAGGCAGGTACATTGAAAAGTGACGAATTAGCATTGTATTTGCTAATCTCGTACAGAAAATTTTTGACACCAGTCTAGTGGTGACAGAGTTACGACTCTCGTGGGGCATAGGTTCAATGTCAGACTAGCTCAATAATAGTCTCTTAAAACTGATTGTTCGAATGTAAACTTTATTTAATTGTCTTTTGAGTCTAAACAAATTATTTCCAATGTTTTGTTTACACTTTAGCTGCAACAAGAACGTTCAAAACATGTTTTTCTGGATGTTATCGTCACGGTGTCAACGTGCGAATGTTTCTATCACAACGTCATAATTATCATTATATCACACACTAATCAGCATCATACGAGTAATTACCCCCCTCGTACATAACCCTTAGTAGTTATATCAACCAATAGTAACAAAAGATATTATTACATCAACCAAACAAAAAAATACAGATTTCCTAAATTGATTTTTATATTATTTATAAATTACCAAATGTAAATGTATTGAAATTATTCTTTAATCAAATTTACACATCTAATATGGGTTTTTAACATTTTGAAAATATGAAGTCTTAAAAATTTCTTTTTTAAAACAAAAAATAGTAGGGAGTATCATCTCTCTGCGAAACATGCCTAGAAGTAGGTACTAGATCGAAATCCATAATGGATGGTAATAAACTAACTTTATTCATAAAATTACATAAAAATTGGTAATGGTAAATTTAGTGTGAAGTAGAAATAACTTACAGTGCACTTTATCCATGAATTTTCAATTCATTAATGTTAAATGTTTATCAACATTATTGCATAAGATAATGTTATGAAATATACAAAGTTCATACAAAGTGAAAGAAAAATATGCCAATATTATTCTTATTACTTTCATATCAAGTTTTTCAGGCACAAATTAAGTATTTTTATGTGCAATGAGAAAACTAGATTATTTTTCTAAACAATATCCATCCACTCAAACTGCAGTCAAAAAAAGGGGTCCATATTGGCTCACCTAAAGTTATTTACCCGAAATTGTTCTTCCTAACGATTTTAAATCCGAATGATCACTCTTCCTAAAATTTTTCATCCTAAAGTTTTCATTCATACTATTTGTAGTGCTACCGGCGATGTTCATAACACTCATGTTTCCGAAAATTTTAATTAATAATATCATTTATGTAAATATATTTAAACTCCTACTGTTTTTTATCATAACACTTTTATCCCTAAACATTACCATAATATTATTATTTTCACTCATACCATAGAATAATAATAAATACTACGTACAGAAGTACGTTCTTCGCGAATAAAACGTAAGGCCAGAGTTCTAACCTAACCTAAACCAATAATTTATGAATAGGACCGATTCGTTTCTGGAACTTGACTACCTATACTTGCTAATGCCAACAAACTTGAACTTTAATATATCGTTAAAGAAAGAAATCTAAACAAAAAAGATATGACTTTGAATAATAGTGTAAAATGTGGTTATGTTTAGAAAATCTAGGAGAACAAATAAAAGTATAATAGATGTTTATTGCTAATGACATTATGAAGTTGAATGATTCGGAATTATGAACATTAGAGACAGAGTAGTTAGGAATTGTGATTGTTAGGTTGAAAAATTTTAGGAAGAACATTTTCGGACTTCCAATTTTCGGAGTTGAAAATTTAGGTGAACTTTGGCGCACCCCAAAAAAAGGTTAGCAAATAAAAGAAAAAATACAATAAAAAGCTATATTTTGAAACAGAATCACATTACAATAATAATTTTAACTTTATCTACAATAACCTAGTACCAGTACGATTTGGCGGGAACTCTGTCCTCCTTGATGCCCATTTCTTCCATGATATCCATCTCGAAGGTGTTGAGTTTTGGCGCGAAAGTTATCTGGAAGAACAAAAGGTATTCAACAACAAACTTAACTCATAAAGCTTTCCCTACAGTTAAACTACCTTTGATCTGACACGAATACTTATTAATTCTAGTATGTGAAATGAAATTTTAGGGTTAAATCATTGGCGGATTTACAGTTCTGCCGCCCGTAGGCTAGGGTGGAGTTGGATCTTTATTTAACTTTTATCTTCTGAAATCGAGTAAGCGTCATCTAAAATCTGCCGCTCCTAGGACGCTGCCGCCCCGCGGCCTATTGACAAATCCAGGACAGGGTTAAATTAGATTAATTTTATTTTAATTGAATTGCAGATCCATACAAGAATGCGTGGTAAATTCAGCGAACTGCTCCTGAATCAAATGTACCTACTACTGCTTTTTCTATTTATTTATATTAACCGGCAGACAGTGGTGACTGAGTTTGTTGCGGCGCTTCTTCTCAGCACTTGCCAAATGTTGGTCTCGAAGCGCTGGTAGGGTAAAAAGATTATGAGACATGTAGAGGCTCCTTAAGAGTAACTTATTATTCTAAACAAATAAAGAAATTTTGACTTTGACTTTGAGATAATGTGAATTTTAATGTCGAACTAATTTTCCTATACAATGTATTTTGTTTTTGGAATAAATAAATTTTACTAGCTAGCCTTTTTTGATAATATTGAAGTTTATGAAAATGAATGAAATGAAATGAAAAGGTTCAAGTTCTAGTATGTGAAAAAAAATTTTAGGGTTAAATTAGATTAATTTTATTTTAATTGAATTGCAGATTATGTGAATTTTAATGTCGAACTAATTTTCCTATACAATGTATTTTATTTTTGGAACAAATAAATTTTACTAGCTAGCCTTTTTTAATAATATTGAAGTTTATGAAAATGAATGAAATGAAATGAAAAGGTTCAAAACCAATGAAAATTTTATATTATGCGAGTTTAGAAAAAACGCATTTTATACATATTTTGTCTATCTATGTTTCGATATCGATACTCTTATTAGATTATGTTTCACACAGAGTTGTCTTTCATATCGGGAAGGAAACGAAAATAAATCGAGTTTGCCATTGATAAGTTTGACGAATCGCTAATAATTTCCAAGTCTAATTACATGCTAATTTGAATGAACGGTGCACTCGGACGCCTATGGCGGCTTATAACGTCTAACGTGTTACAACACTAATGCCCATTTTCACCATCAATCCTTAATTTTTAAGAAACCCATATGAAAAGAAAATTCCTGTTGTGTTACCACAGGGTCACAATTAGGAATCAAAAATTAGGAATTGATGATGAAAACGGGCATAAATCTAGATTGCACCATCTTACACGCGGTAAAACCACAGAATAATAATAAGTACTACGTACAGAAGTTTTACTTCGCGAAGGTATTTAAAAAAAATGTATGCTCAATGTCATTAACAATATGGTGTAATTTAGCCTGTCTCAAGAGTCAAGCACCATTTTGTTGACAAACGTCAGTGCACTGGGCACTGCGCCGAAGCTATAGGGCTGACTTCGGCAAAATGATGTGACGTGAGGTGCCAAACTGCGGAAAATGGCGGAGGAAATACATGATTTGGCATGAATTATCATGAATAATATTAACTACTTATTTACCTCTCAGTGTCTTGAGGCAACTTAAAAAAGTACATTCTGTGTTTTTATTATTATTTAGGCAGTTAAATACTGCACAGTATTTAGTACACCATTTTCTTTGTTTTCTTCCATCATACACAAGAATACGCGTGCGTGAGTCAATGTTCGCTCGTATGTGAGGCCTTGTCGAATAGTATCCTGTAGGTGGGCCATCGAGCGTGTTTTGTTTTCGATGTAAACTCGCGGAGATGAACAGGCCTGGTAAAACAATAAAATTAATTGAAAATATTGTTACCTTTGCTATGACATCAGCTTTCGTATCTTTCTTTTCATTCTCTATGTACACCTCTTTGCTTTTGTAGTCGATGGTCTCTTCGGCTGCCTTCGGGATGGGGATTATTCTGCTACTGGCTTTTGACACTCGCACCTAAAAAGAAAAGACAATGATTGTCTTTTTTTTTTCGCGCGGCCATCGATCATACCTTGTTTTTTGATTACAAAATAGTGTAATAAACCAAACTTACTATGACATGTATACCTACCTCTAAACTCAGTCTGAACTGAGTTAAGAGCATCAGAAGTTTGATGATTTTCATACTAGATTTGCTGTTTGCGCGCAAGTTTTGTAAGAAATTGCAACAAAATAATGACATTGTATGTGTAAACAAACAATACCATCCATTAAAAGTTCCAGACATCAGTATGCAGCAGAATCAGCGCAATAAAAAAATAGCGCAATATTTTGTTGCAATTTCTTACAAAACTTGCGCGCAAAAAGCAAATCTAGTATGAAAATCATTAAACTTCTAATGCTCGTAACTCAGTTCAGACTGAGTTTAGAGGTATACATGCCATAGTAAGTTTGGTTTATTACACTATTTTGTAATCAAAAATCAAAGTTTGGTCGATGGCCGCGCGAAAAAAAAAGACGCCACCTTCCATACAAAATCTGGCATTGCCATTTAGTTTGTTTCAGTCAAATGCCGTCCACTTAACATGACTCAGAAATGAGGAAATCCGTAAACGAACTAAAGTCGCTGAGCCCGACGGATTAGCAAGCTGAAGTGGCAATGGGCAGGGCACATAGTACGCAGAACTGACGGCCGATGGGGCAGCAAGGTCCTGGAGTGGAGGCCGCGTACCGGAAAACGCAGCGTGAGACGTCCATCACAAGGTGGACCGACGACATCGTAAAGGTAGCAGGGAAGCGCTGGACGCAGGCCGCTACCATTCGATCAACCTGGAAAGCATTGGGGGAGGCCTATATTCTGCAGTGGACGTCCTATGGCTGAAATAATGATGATGATGACGTCCACTGCTGGACAAAGGCCTCCTCCAAGGATTTCCACAACGACCGGTCCTGCGCTGCCCGCAATCAGGCACCTCCCGCGACTTTCACTAGATCGTCGGTCCACCTAGTGGGGCCTGCCTTTTCCGGCTCGTGTTCGCCACTCGAATAGGTGAACTATAAGTAAAACTCGATATTTAAGCTTACCTTTGAATTATGGGTAAGATATAAGAAGTTAATGTAAAAAAAACCCACATGATTACCTTTTTTAGTTCAATCAAGACAGAAAGGATAAATAAATAAATCTTTGGATAATTTCATACAGCACCATCTAGCCCCAAAGTAAGCAACTAATATGCTTGTGTATTGGGTGCTAGCTTAAGGGATATACTACTAGAAAAAAGCATCTAGTTCGTAAGTTTATCGTAAACAGCTAGATCAATCATTTTTTATTGCAAAATCGCATCTAATACAATTACAAATGGCACCCCAGTATTTATTGACATAATATCTAAAGCCCGGTCCGTGAGCACGTAGAATTTTGTCCAATGACCCCAAGCTACCCATCCTTATCGCTCGCGCGTAATTATGTTGCGATCGCGCTCGCACACTCACTGCGGGCGCTCGTCGCACAGTCGCGACAGCAATATAAATTACGCGCGAGCGATAAGGATGGGTAGCTAGGGGTCATTGGACAAAATTCTACGTGCTCACGGACCAGACTATATCTAAATATTATAACTCAAAGGTGACTGACTAACTGACATAGTGATCTATCAACGCACAGCCCAAACCACTGGACGGATCGGGCTGAAATTTGGCATGCAGGTAGATGTTATAACGTAGGCATCCGGTAAGAAAGGATTTTACGAAACTCCACCCCTAAGGGGCTAAAACAGGATCGCGGGCGGCCGCTAGTCTCTTATATGTATATTAAACCATCTGACCTTGTCTCCCTCTTCCGTGTACCGCCACTCAATCTCCGTGGGCTTCAAAGTCTCGGGGTCCACCAGTTTGACTCCCGTCGTGACCAGTAGAGGCGCTTCGGACTGGATCACCACGCCGGGAAAATTCTTATCTTTGCCCACCTGGAAGATATGATAAGCATAAAATTGATATACCAGACCAGGTGCGATTGCGGTCAAATACCTGCCTTGTAGTGTTGCCGAACTATCGACGGTAAAACTATCGATAGTTTTCATTCGAAAAAGCCTTCTCCATCGATAGGCCTATCGATAGTATCGATACTGTCGATACTATCGATAGTTTATTCTTCATTAGCAACAATACTATCGATAGTATCGATAGTATTGCACATATTCAATAGTATTGCCTCGTATTGAGCTATCGATAGTATCGACAGAATCGATACTATCTCTTGCGATAGTTTGGCTATCGATAGACTATCGATAGTCGACTATCGATCGGCAACACTACTGCCTTGTCTAGCATAAAAAAAAATCGAAGCGACGGTAGGCGAACGGTGAAGGTGTCGGACTGGCCTACTCGTGATCCAGGGAACACGGGTTCGAACCCCGCCGAGTTCTTCAGAATACAAAGATGATGAATAATTTTGAAAACTACAATTTCCACTTAAGATTTTAAATACAATTGATTTGCTATTTATAAAAATGTATAATTTACACACAATATTCCTTTGATGTTCAGTGACGTCTTTCTTAACCTTTAGTGACAACTGACCTTAGGATTTTTGTGGCATATAGATAGACTCACGCCCGTATTCACAAACATTACTATGAGATCTCACAGTGCGCGTGGTCGCACAGGATGACACACGAACCAATCACAGAGCTCTATTCGATGCTGTGCTCCAAGGCTTGCATGTTATTAGTTAACCTGTAGAAAGTATCTACTTTTACTGTAAGTAGGTATAGTTATTTAACAACCTTACAACCACAATCCTTTTTCATCATCATGTCTTTTTTTTACAGGGCTGTAAATGTTCAACAACAATGAAAAGTTTTGACTTGCTACGTTTGTTAATTATAGGATTAACTGCTGTAAAGTATACAATCTTTTTTTTTATCTAAAGTAATCTGCAAAAATTCCAAAATACGGTCTGCCACTAAAATATAATGGGTTAAAGTGTTAAAAACCTCGAAGAATAAGCTAAGTTCTAAAGTAACATCTTACAGTCCTCAGATGAGTATTGAGGCCTTCTACGATGACCCAGTTCCTCTCCTGTATGACCTGTGTGATGATGCCCTGCTTGCCTTTGTCTTTGCCCACCATCACCTCCACTCGGTCTCCGCTGGAAGTCAAAATAACAGTAAATTTAGTCTACATTCCGAAAACTTTGTAATAAAATCGAAATCAAAAATATTTATTCAGTCTAGACCACAAGTGGCACTTATGAACGTCAAAATATAGTAAATAATAAATAAGAAAAGGTAGCCCTTATGGGGCACTTTACATGTCTCCTTATCTTTTAGGCCCTACCAGCGCTTTGAGACAAACATATGGCAAGTGACAAGATTATTTATTATAGAACACAATAGATTTTGCAAACTAAATAAAACACTTTAGTTGGCATAGTAGGGTTGAAAATTATCAGCACATTTTATATTTGTTTAATTACATATACATTGGATACCTTTAACATTGTTATTGACCTAAAAGAATAAAATTGATACCTACTCATAGCCTTGAAATCTTTTTAATACCACGGTAGGTACACGTANTGATGGTATACTTGGAATTGCTCTAGGGCCAATGAGGAAGTTGGAGACATTCTCTTGTTTGGCAGATTTTAGTGCCGTAACATATTATTGTTTTAAACGCTGTAAAATGAAATGCGATATAAACATATCGCGGTATATGTTAGCGATTATGCCAAAAAACATGGTGTGTATGTGGTTCGTAGGTTAGCGAACCACGTACACACTATGTTTTTTGGTTACAGTGCATGCAACGGTTACAGTTATAGCTCGCTAACGAGTACCCGGCTTTAGGTTTTAGGCTCATGGAGGTAGCAGACCGCTACCAAACGGGTGATGCGGAAATCATTGGGGGAGACCTATGTTCAGCAGGTAACGTCCTGTAGCTGAAGTGATGTTGATGATGAAGTTTAGGCCTGTCGTTTTATGCTTGTTTGATTATCAAAAGACTCTTTCTATTGCAAATAGTTAAGGATGATTAGTAGTTTAACAGTTACTTATTATTATTTCGTGGTTTAACTACCATAAAGCTATTGCTAAGACTGAATAGAATTGAGCTTCTACCTGGCATATTTACCATTCTGTTTTACATTTAATATTAGGTGAAATTGTGATTTATTAGCTGTAAATGTTAATTAAATGTAAATAAATACAAACCTACTTTGTTGATATATTTATATCAACCGCTATTAAACAGGCATTCTTCATAAATATAGATTAAAACGTAATGGTTTAGGAAGTCAGACATTAAATTACCCCATTCTATAAAGACAGTTAGTTAACCCCTTGTTATTAATCTATTAGAAATTTCAATTGTCTTTAAATTACTGTATTTAAGCAATGAAAGATCATTCCTTCGTGGTGTAGAAATTTTTAACTCGATTTTATTTTAAATAAAAAAAGGGTTTTCTGTAAATGTTAAGATGAAATAAAACGTATAATCGCTCCTATTCATATCACCTTAATGTTATTTTATGTTACCAGCTGAAATTTCCATGTTATAATCCTAGCATGTAAAACTTAAATATTTCTATGTTAGCCCACAAATGTCGAGGAATCACTGACACTGAAAATACAGTATTTTTTACTAGTTTCGGTGTCTGGGTTCACCCCTTGTTAGATCCAAATGTTTGATTGAATAAATTTATTTATTATTATCCCAACTAATATTATAAATGCGAAAGTAACTCTGTCTGTCTGTCTGTCTGTCTGTCTGTCTGTTACGCTTTCCCGCTTAAACCTCGCAACCGATTTTGATGAAATTTGGCATAGAGATAGTTTGAGTCCCGGGAAAGAACATAGGATAGTTTTTATCCCGGTTTTTGAAACAGGGACGCGCGCGATAAAGTTTTTCTGTGACAGACAAAATTCCACGCGGGCGAAGCCGCGGGCGGAAAGCTAGTTATAAATAAAAATACGGAACGTCATGCATTAGTAGTATTGAAATTTCCCACGTTTACTAAAGCTATTCATTATAAAATATACCACCTTTTCAAGTGTAAAACGAACTTTAGAGCCTAGTTATTTACAAAATACCGTGCCGTTAAAATACAGCCTTCGATTCGATTGATAGGCCTCTAATTGAGTAGGACGGCTAATAACATACGTAGGGCAGTGTGTGTTTTAGAAATACCATGAAAACGGAATATTCTAGTAGGTTTTAACGTAACACACATTACCTATTCCAGCAGCTGACATGGCAGAACGTTTGAATTGTTTTGTAGTAAGTTTTGTTTAGGAACTGTTTAACATTTAGGAGCCGGCGTGATAGTGTAATTGGTTCTTTATATACGGCGTTTTTTGTTCCCTAAATTAATCCACGATTACCACATTTGTAGAGTTTTGTTTTATATTAGTTCATCCATTAGCATAGGTTTGTGTAATAATGTCTAATTATCAACATAAATCAACGTGTAAGTTCAGAATTATGATATCGTATATTGTTCTCGTTATTTATTAAGGGTTTAAATTTAATTAGGATTAGGGTTAGTCTAGGGTTTCAGGTAGATTCAATATTTTCCCAGCGAGTTTCGTATTACCTTTAAGCTCTAGGTACATACCCACAGTCCCAAACATTGTACAAATACATTTAGAGTCGCTAAATGTTATCAACTTAATTTTAATTAAAAACTTTTTGGATTTTCAGGACTGAAAAAAGAAGATAATTTTTAAATATACTCAGCGCAAAGACTCGTGGCAGGCAGTGTCATAATAAATTAGTGCATATCACGTTTTCTCTCGCACTCACAATGGATATGGGTGACGTCACACAGAGGCAGGCATAGCGTTGTTTATAATACGTAAGAATTAATAAAATATTAGCGAGTGTGCATCTCTGTTTCAAAAATTACTTATGGCCCGAGTATAATTGATTAATACTGACGCCTTCATAGTTAGGCAGTTTCCACTACAACCTAAATAAACTTGTCATGTTTTTACCTAAATGGACGTTCCATTACACATCCGTCGGGCGTTATTAAAAAAGTTAAAGTGAGGTGCCGGCGCCGGTGGGAGCGTTCCCTCATTATTTATTTAAGCGATCCGATTGTCGTTTGTTCGTCTGAGGGCCAGGGGCGGAGGAGGAGCGGGTAGAAGATACTACTTAAGGTAGAATAAGATGTGCAGAATATGTGTATTTACATAATGTAAGTAAATCATTATAAACATTCGTTTGTTTCAGACAAATGTCGTCCACTGCTGGACAAAGGCCTCCCACAAGATTTCCACAGCGACAGTCCCTGTGTTGATCGCCTCCATGGTGATATGTCTTATATGCTACTACTGGCCATAGCGGAAAGTGCTTCACAAAATGTATTTATTTCTTGTAATCAGGTTAGGTAGAATTAAAAAATGTATTCGTTACTCCTGTGTAGGCATGTATTGTTGACATAATATTATCTACCTAAATAAAATATACATTGATTAGCCAGATAATTTAGATGCCCTATTTTTTTCTAAAGTAGGAAAACACGCTTAGGACGTCCTCCCACAAGGGGGACAGACGACCTCATAAAGGTAGCAGGAAGGCGCTGGATTCAATAATGACGATGATGAGGATGTACGTACATGAAAATAAAACACTTGCCTTACTAGACATCCTTACATACAATTTTAATACCAAAGTTTAAATCAATATACTAATCACCACTTAATTATGCACAAGATCTCGCTCCGTTCCCCACTTGCACCACGGCCAGATGCAGACAAAGAGCTTTTAAAACTTAACCCTTATTTTCTCACTTGGAGCACTTGAAGGGATTACAGGCGGACCCGGGAGGCGCGGCAGTGCGTCTGCTGCGCGCGCGCTACGCTTCGCTAACTTCTGTTTTGGCATTAATAGATTGGGAATCCCCACCTGGTTGTGCATTTTAAGGTAATTATCTTTTGTTGACATTTTAGTATTTTCTCACTTGGAGCACTTGAAGGGATTACAGGCGGAGCCGGGAGGCGCGGCAGTGCGTTTGCTATGCGTGCGCTTCGCTAACTTATGCTAAGCATTATTAAATTGGGAAGCCCCACCTGGTTGGGTATTGCAGGGTAAGAAGGATCATTACTGTCTGTAACAGTTTTAGTTGGCTGTAAATTGCAATTTTTAATTAATTAAGTTAAGTACCATCCTAGACTGCATCTCACTTAACACCAGGTGCGATTGCGGTCAAATACCTGCCTTGTCTAGCATAAAAAAAAAATTAATCTAAGAGTAGATAATAGATATTATCTTTTATTGTAGGTATACCAAACAGAACTGCGATCAAATGCGATCGAAGTAGGTATTGAAATGAAGTGTCATTTCTATTTCCTTTCATGTCCGTTTTCTTCAGGTCATTTCGTGTCTAATTTCTTTAGGTTTTGAGTCTACATTTTAAAGAATGTCATACGAATTATTACAAACAAAACAGCTTGTAAAAGGTACATTTTCTGGACAAATCATTAATAATACCATTATGATAATAAAATTACAGGTGGTGTAGACGAGCTATCGACTGAAGACTCTAAGATTCAGACAAATAAAAAAAAAACAGGAAAATAGCATTCACAGACCGCACAATGTTAAACATTCTTTTCTCTTCAAACATAAACATCGCCAGCATGCAGAGGTGTTCTGTAAACTAATTAAAATGAATGCCGCAGCAACAAGAAAGAACAACTCCGTGGTCCACCGGCGGCGCCGTCTCAGAGACATTCCGCTCTCCCGTAGGAACTTGTCCCGCCGTGCGGTGTTTACATGGTCACCGCAACGTGGACATTGAGAGACTGGAAGAGCTGGGAAACACGTTAATTTTCTATTGTGATATTGATAAGGTAAGATACATGATAATAAAGAAGGAGGGATAGTATCACGTAGACGTAAACAAACTAAAGTCGCTGACATAGCCCGACGGATTAGCAAGCTGAAGTGGCAATGGGCAGGGCACATAGTACGCAGAACTAACGGCCGATGGGGCAGCAAGGTTCAAGAATAGAGGCCGCGTACCTGAAAACACAGCGTGGGACGTCTACCCACAAGGTGGACCGACGACATCGTAAAGGTAGCAGGGAAGCGCTGGACATGGAAAGCATTGTGGGAGGCCTATGTTCAGCAGTGGACGTCCTATGGCTAAAATGATAATGATGATGATGATC